AAAAGAGTTCATCTTTTACCGTCGATTAAATCTGGAACTTGATTTTGTTTTTTTTAAAGAAGAAACTTTGTTTTAGTTAATAGCGAAAAAAGAACGACATGTTTTTTTTTTTGTTTTTATTCAGATAAAAAAAAAGAAAACGAAATTTTTGAGGATATTAAAAAAAAAGAAATCTTAACAATTCATATGTTTGTTTGGTTTTAGGATGTATATGTGTGTAGAAATGTTTCTTTTTTTGTTTTTAAGAAAGAAATTATTGAAGGAAGGATCAATTACAAAAGAACACGCGCAGGTAGTATCGGAACTTACGAGACAACATCCTTAATTGTCCAATCAGTTTTCGCTGGACATTATTACCAGTCGATCGATCATAAAGTGTAGTAAAAAGAAAAGTCTTGTTTCGTTTGGTTTTATGATCTTTATATGTTGAGTTATTGACATTTTACTTAAATATTGCGCTATGCNATCTCCGCTTCTATTTATAACATACCTCGAGCGAATAATGGAAAAGGTAAAACAAAAACCTTGTGGAGTCAACATCAATGGAAATATAATAAATAACCTAAGATTTGCTGATGATATAGATTTTATCGACGAAAATTTTAATAGTCTTACAGAGCAAATCGAAACCACGAACAATTCAGCGAAGCCCGCTGGACTAATTATAAACGCAAAAAAAGACAAAAATAATGGTGTTCGGGGAGAAAGACAATAACCAAGAGATTAAGATATATGGAGACATCATTGAAAATGTCAACAGATTCGAATACCTTGGAAGTCTTTTAACTTGGGATAATAACTGCACCGAAGAAATCAAAAGAAGAATTAGCAAGGCAACAGCAGTATTAACTTCGTTAAAACGTATAATAAGTAGTGTAAATATCAAAGTAGAAAGTAAACTAAAAATCCTAACTACAACTGTGTTCACTGTTTTATTATATGCATCAGAAACATGGACACTAAAGGAAAGTGATAAAAAGAAATTATTAGCATTTGAGATGAAATGCTATCGTCGAATATTAAAAATCAAATGGACAGATAAAATCTCAAACGAGGCTATAAGGAAAATGATATCCCGAAAAACTACTATTGTGGACATCATAAAAAAGAGAAAGTTACAATTATTTGGACATATTAGTAGAATGGATGATCGCAGGCTAATAAAGCAAGTGGTATTCTCTAGAATGGATGGAAAATCTCGAGTTGGCCGTCCTTCTAGAGAATGGTTAGATGATATCACAGATTGGTGCAACTGCAATATACAAGATCTTTTCCATCTAGCTCAGAATAGAAGAGGTTGGAAAGATCTTATTCTTTCATCTATTAGCCCCGACGGGAGATAATCCTATGTGACTTATTTATTTATTTATTTACATAAACGGATTGGTTTATTAAAATAATCTGTTACGAACTTGAAATATTTTTTGACCATGACGATGTAACACTATTAAAAATATTCAGAAGTAAAGTTCTCGATATACTGAATTAATTTAAAGCGATAACGACTAATCATACCCTAAAGCACATAGCCAACTGATATCAGACAAATAAACTCATAAAAACACGTTTTTTTCTAATTCAGCCTCTGTACCATAAAATTTATATTTGCATTCGTTTATCTGATAAGAAAACGTATTCTTGAATATATGATAAAATTTTCTTACAATGCATCGAAAAAAAAGACAACAATTCACGTAATGGGCTGAAAATATTGACTAATGCACAATATGTGAAATGAACTGCATAATCGAAGGAACATATGAATGAAATAAAATATTCTTAGAATGTGGGTGTATTTGATGCTTGTGGGTGAATGTGAGATTTAGTCTTCAAGTTCTGACTCATCTCTTCACCGACACCTTATTTTAGGCCACTTTGGTGCTTCATAACTCGTGGCTCAAATTAGATAGACGTCTGAAATTTTTATTGGTCCTAAAATATATGGAGAGGTATACCTATAAAAAATTCCAGCTCAATGGGTTCAGCCACTCATGAGATATGGTGCTATCTAGATCTGTTCCTTGGTTGACCTGTATAGATTTTTAAGAATATTCATAAAGCATGCACAAAAAACCGAAAATTCAATATTTTTTGAAAAATGGCCTACATCAAATTCCTAAAACTCTTTCGTCCACAGAGATATCTTAAACTGAGTAAATCTGATGACCACTTGATTGAGTAGATCCCGTTGTTGCATACGTAGAATAAGATATTTCCATATTGCTCTGAGCTATTTCAAATTCTAATAAAAATATTGCATTACATAAACATAAACTTACAGAATTAGAAAAACTTTTACGAAAAACAAAAAGTCCAGTATCTGCTAAAATTGACATATATTCTTGTTCATTATTGAACAACGTGGATTTTTCATCTTTCTTCGTTTCGCATTTTATCAAATCAAAAAAGAAACAGCTTCGACCTAGTACTCTTGTAGAGCAATCGATTCTCTGGAAAATCCTACATTTGGCATACTATGAGTTAATCAATACGCTACATACATGAAACGATAATATTGTCGAAATATTGACAAAATCACAATATTTTGTAGCCAATATGTAGCCAAGATCAGAAGATATCATAAGAATATATATAATAGTCAATACTTTGTGTTCAATTTGAAAGATTTCTGTGTGGGATTACGTTCGAAAAAATCTTAATTTCTGTGATTGCACCTAAAAACTGAAGAAAATATCATTGTATAAAATTCATATTTATAAATAAAATTTGAAAAACTGCTCTTGGGAACTTTAGTAGCTCACTCAGATGTATAAATTCTGAAAGTTTCATACGATTCAGAAATACTTATGGGTTTTTTGGTTGAGACTCCATGAAAATACCAAGCAGATTATTACCAATCGGCAATTGTAACATATAACTTCAAAACAGATGCCATACGATTCAATTATGCTATGGTGAAGTCGCTCATTATAGATGCAACGATAGTGCATTTGAGAAACTTTGATCTCTATTTTTCTTGGTTATAAATCAAATATATTGCGGTTATTTGAGTAAAGTGAATGACGAAAATCGTATCTTAAATAATCATCTAGTTCTTCATACCATCGTTTGAATATTTTATTCTCTCAAAATTCAACATTTAATTGATGAATACGCGTAAAAAGTTTTCAGAACGCTTTTTCAAAAACTGAAATTATAAAGATTAGAATAATATTATTTTGTCGCAACTTTAGGTTACTTCTGATCTTATTAGGAATGTTCATGATTTTCTTTGAAAAAATCGATATTTTCGGTTTTAATAAATGGCAAGATTTTTCTTGGTACACCTGGATTCTAAATAGTTGTTAAAATATCAAGAGATCATGCGAAATTATTCAATGAAAACTTAATCTTAAACACTTTGAGGGTGTTGCTGAAGAGATCCAAATCTCATATCTTTGTACAAGGAAGGCTCCGAAGAAGATCACTTATGATAGCGCAGAGGACAAGAAATAGAATTCTAAAATTCGTGTAAAAGTGATGGTATCATATCGAAACGGCTGCTTTCAGAGCAAATCCTTTTGTCTACAGTAATTAGATTTTGTCAGCGTGTCTTTGTGCAGCATTCATCTTTGTATCAAAGACTCGAAATTATTCTGGAGACCATGTTTCTTCTCCAGATTTGTTTGTTGCTCAATGTTTTTAATGAAAACAAGGTAGTTACCACTAACATCAATTAATCGCCTTGCCAAAATCATTTGATTGGTTCATTTTTTTAGACAAAATACCCCAAATTTTCTTCTTGAACGATCAACATCGATTCAAAGTGAAACTTTTATTAGAGATCAAGAATTTTTTTCTTTTCAATCATTCTCTCTAATAAATTCGTCGATGTTTCATCGAACATGGGTGTAATTTAATGTTAAATCTTCTAGTACAGAACTTTGATTCCTTGGCGCAGAAAATGAATCATACAGATGGGGAAACAATTAGAATCACTTTGTCTTATAAGATTCACAGCATTATTCATTGAAAATTTCTCATTTGGGTGAGATTAACATTAATAAATTGGATTTCCTACTTAGTCTTGTAGGAAGAGTGACACGTGCTATTTGCATTGCATGAATCATTCATTCACATCAAACGAAAATTACTTGTGAATAGGCTCTTTTCATTTTTTTCACAAGAGTGACAACACTTCTGCATAACCGAAACTTGAGTAGCTGCTTTGATTTGCGCAGAAAAGACAGAAGTTTGTTGACCGTCAATAGTGGATTTTTTCCTACTGCCTATAAGGTAATCAACTCAACGCTACGATGAAATGCAAATGATTGGATTGTGACATGGACGACGCTGATATTGAACTAAATGCTCGAAGCAGCGTTCTCAAGAGTAACTAACAGCAGTGTTGATGCATCCTCATGAACTGAAAAGATCAAAACATGCTCACCAGTATCATGAAGTTTATGCCGCGAAAACAAAAGAAAAAAGGTATTTTAGATGATGAAACAGACATGACAAATTCATTGATTCAAAACGATATTTCAATCTGGCTTATGCAATTAATTTAATTTTTAAGTCAATGCCTAGTCTCAAAGTGTTTCGATAAGTTTTATTATGCTATTTTTTAAAGAGATGCTATCGTTCTTCTAAAAATTCGGAAAGCGTGTGTTACATGTTGTTTGAGTTCCAATCACGATTTATTCCTGCCGAGTTGATAAAAGAACAATAAACCATTCACACTACGACTTATCACCATTCGAGAAAAATGTGCATCGTGATATTTGATGAATGTTATGTCACTTCTATGTTGACAAGAATGAGAGAACAAATGACAAGTTGTTCTAAATGAGTATGTTATAGATCAACCGTCGATGTTCGAGAAATACTTTCGCATAGCACAGTCACAATAAGTTAATAAAAAGAGGCAACCTTTCCCATCTGCAAGTATTTGTTGTTGTCTCAAATACTCTTTATTATTATAATAGATCTTATTGAAAATATTTTAATTTGAATATACCGAAATTCTGCTGTCTCAAGAATAAAAAAAAACACAAAAATTAACGTGTATCGGTAAGATTTTGTTCATAATCGCCTAAGTTACCATAAGTTTCGACACATGTGCGGCAGATGCCGCCACCTTCACAGTGATGAAGTAATATATCTTTAGGTTCAACACCACTTCGGCAAATAGTGCAATAAAATAGGTTATTTGTTGGAAGATTTCTTGCTGACTGGTTTTCAGATGGACCATATCTTTGAGGGCTGTTGATTGGAGCTGCCTTTATCTGATTAAACTGTGATGGTTGTTGTGGGTATTGTGGTTGCGAATACTGTATCTGTTGCATCATTGAATTTCTCGCACTCATCTGAATGCTTTGCTGTAGCGGACAGCCCTTAGTATGACCTGAACATCGGTCAGTCATCGGCTTTCCTTTATTGAACACTGCAAGAAGAAATCGATTTTGTTCGTTGTTACGCTTTAGTTGCTTTTCTAACTCTTGTCGAACTGTTTGTAACTCATCTACTAATGGTTCATAAATATTTCTCACGTGCTCGTATAAATCATCGATTGCTGGACGAATTTGTTGAAATGGACACTTTAGATTGTGTTCCATCAGTGCACTGCGTGTACCTTTCCACGTACATTTAATGTCGAAAGCCGGACACGAAACTGTTTGATTGGGACATCGTTTTTCATGGTCATTGATGTTTCCCCGTTGAATATTCGCTTCATTACATCGTTTGCGTCGTAAGAGAAGTCTCTCAAGTTGATTGAGTACAATACGAGTCGAAATCGGTTGAAATTCCTCTGTCGACGTTCTAGTACGACAAGTTGGACATGTTGATTGACGAGCGATCCATGGATTAATACATGTTTGACAAAAAGTGTGACCACATATTGCACTGNAAAGCGCCATAATAGCGACAAGCATCATAGGCTTTCTGATCACCGTGAGTAATTTTGCCACTTATTCCAGAAAACTCGACGGCTTCAGTAGGATATCGGTAGAAGAACAGAGGAACGGGAGTCAGCCGCATAAGTGCTCCATTACCAGCTACGCCAGTTTCACTGCAATTCACATCAAATGTTGCAAGCAGATCAGGGTCTGCAAAAGAATCTAATTGATCAAGAGGAATTTGATATTTGATAGCAAACGATTGTTGACGGCCTTCAAATTCACGCAGCGATTGACTGGTAGCATTACTAATATCGAAGCATCGTCCAGTCGAAGACATGTAACCATGTCTAAACCACCACTTATATCGAACCAGCTGGTCATATGGGACAAAGTCACGATGAGCTATCAATGAATTTGCCAAGCAAAGACCCATGGAGGTGTCGTCTGTGAACTAAACAAATGACAGTTCTCGGAAATAGTACAATCATCAATCTGAGATGGATGTTTAAGGTGCATATTTTGAGGAAAAGGAAAACTACAAGCATAGAGTTGAGTACAATATTCTTTTTTTTCATAGTTTCGTCCAATATATTAACATTTCAGATGTCTTCTCTCACAAATTATATGAAAAGCACTTTCTTAATAAAAGACCCCCTGTAATAGTAAGTAGTGGTAGTTACAGATAGTGCAAACTATGATTCTTTTCTCAATGCTGAGAGATTTTATGAAGAAAAGGTTGTATCTCAATAGTATTTCCAGTTAATGAAATTAAGATTTAGATGTCTAAATGCTCAGAAAGCTTGACGACATTACTGATATATGACCGAGGGTCCAAGCGGAATTTCTGACTTATCCTAGTTCACTGCATTGACTTTACTGCGCCGGTGATGTTTCTTTGGAATGAGACCCGATTTTTTTCTCAATCAGGAACGAATCTGGAAAACATCAAAAGCACATCACTGGATAAATGATCTCGACTAGAGTGTGAAATATGCATGTGGCAAGTATACGATATAGCACTCTAACTCTTTGGAACTTCAATTTAAGCCGAAATGGTGAGGGAGGAAAATTGTCCTGATCAGGACTTCTTTAAAAAATAGTTCGAATATTTGTTTTCAAAATCAGTGAAGCTTAGGAACGAATAAATTAAGAATCATAAAGATGAGAGACTTTACTTGTCCTTTTTTGAGACCCCACGTTCCGCCCTCCTGAAGATCTTGCACAGGATGCTCCACTAAGTATTGATGTGGCCGAAATTCGACATAAGCTCCAAGCGCATCACCCAAAGCCATACCAAACATCGATCCCTTCACACGATTTAATATGGCACGATCAACACTTCTAGGAGGATCTTGTAGCTTACTCTCAAGATCTTCAGGAGTCATAATCGATCTTTTGTTATGATCGTGATACTGGCAATCGAGCCAAGGTTTTTCTGAAACGGAAGTACCGTCCTTTTTACCAACAGTTTTACTCCCTGAGATGAAAGACGTTTTCTCCATACGGTCATCATCAACTGTGTTTTTTTTAATAGAAGACATTTCAGGCTGACGAGTTTGAGATTCCCATGCCAACTGGTTTGACGACGACTTAGGAGTACCTAAAACAAAACCAGAAGAGATTAATAATAGAAGAGTCAAATAGTCTTGCTATAAGAGAATACTAAGAGTGTGAGAATGGACTCTAATCTTCTTATTGCTTATATTCACAGTTATCCTGGACACATAATTTTTTTCAATATTTTGCATCATTTCGACATTTTCCCATTTGTACACTTATCCATTCGGCAGTTTTCCTGTTCTTCACTGATTTTTCAATATTTTTCCTTTCGGTCTTTCTACGGCTAACCGAATTGTACAATTCTTTTACTGCTCTCCAAAAAGTAATGAACCATTTTGTCTAAAAAATGATTCCACTAAGAAGTCATATTTTTGAAAATTTGCTCTTGCTCATTGATATCTTCTCTTATCAGATAGAGTGGGAAAGAATGAGAAAATATGACTTTTTGTCTGACTTTTGTTACACTATCTTTTGTGTCATTTTTTGTCCTTATCTCCAGAACCTAAAAATCCTATTCTGTTTCGAGTGCTCAGATGTGTTGTCACGAAAACAGGGCTCAATCCCAAAGTAATCTTACTATTTGATTGCGTTGACGTCATTTTACTGTTTGAATGAATTGTAACTGGAGTGATGCCTTTATCTGTTCGATATCTTTCATCCATCGACGACGAAAAACCCCTAGGTGGAGCCAACTGCTGATTTTGAGAACTTTCTTCTCGTAAATGTACTATTTTTAGTCCATCTTCTTGATTTAATTTATCTATCACTCGTAAACGTGTGCCAGGCATCAAAAGAACTTCACCCTGCCATGGGTATTCAGAAAAATTGCGAACGGCTTTGCCATTGACGCATTCAATTTTGAATATAGTGTATACACTGTATCTAGTAATAAATCCGTCAAGCGTTGACTTGGTTTCTGTGCATGAGCTGAATCCTGACCAGATACATTCATTTTCGTAATCAGCAGCAACGTCTCCGCGAGCCAAGCGCCAAATAGTGCCTCTCACCGATGGTAATTTTTTCAAGGCAGTAACAAAGAGCTGAAGATACCACAGCCAAGGGATGAGCTCGGTGTGTGCTCCAGAGCGAAGTACTTTATTTAGTTGAATAGAAACGGCTTCATGGGCTTTCAAATGCTTCATTGTATAAAGATAAATGGCAGCTGCCTCATCAGCAGTAAGGTCATGTGCTAGACGAAACATCTTCTGCTTTGCCGTCCACGCCATATGGCCATAGCTATTTATCAATGGTTGAAGCTTCTTCATTGCCTCTTCAAGTGTCACCAACGGTTGTTTTTCATAATCATCAATAATAGGCGGTGATCTTATTAGACGCTCTTGAGCAGCGTCAAAAAAGCGCTCAAATGCAGTCATCTCTTATATGAATTCGCTTCGTGTATAAAATACGACTGCCTTTTACTTCTGTTCTCTTCGAAATGACTTTCACCATGATTGTTGTTGAGAACCTTGTTAAAAGAAAAAAAAATGCAAAAGAGAGAGAGCACGCGAGGAAAAAAACAACAGAAAAACATAATGCTGAAGCTGTTAGGTTACTGCGTTGCACATCAGTATTTATTTAGTGAAGAATGTTTTACATTTCTTTTCTATTCTTTCACAGCTATCTTAGCGTCACACTCAGCTTTTTCGTTCGTACCGATCTTAAAACACAATGTGAGAAAAATTTGATTGTTTTAGAGTCTAAAAAGCAATAACATCACGTCTCAGAAAGAATTGCTTATTTTCTTCCCTTTTTCACCTGCGCATAAATGACTTTTTTTTTAAATTGCACAAGTATGCGGCAAAGTCTATATTGACACAGCAAGGAAGCAAAGAAAAAGAAAAAAAATATGTCGCAAACACACAGAGAAAAAGAAACAAGTCAAAGTTTTTATTTTGCCTCATGTTAACCAACATCAAATTTTGCAAAGTGTTCTCTTCTGACACGGCTTAATAAATTTCAACATCTTTTTGAAAATATATGCGACGACAGACACATAGCGAAAAAGAGAAATCCAGAGACATAGGTTCTTCCTCATTCCTTCATGAGTGAAAACGACAGTAGAGGGTTACGGAGATAAATTTTTCAGTAGCGAAAATTTGCTTTTTCATGGTACTCCTTCTTATTTTTCCCAGAACATTGAACTGATTCTTTTTGAAATCTCTGGTTAAGCTCCAGTACAGAGTTCCACGTCAACATCCAAAGCAAGGTGTGAGTGTGGATGTGACTTAGTGTAGTTGTCTTTCCTTCCTCCACGCTCACCCACATCACATAACCATTTTGTTTACAATCTTAAAGTGCAAACCAAACATTTATCGTATTATCAGCAGCAGATTCATAATACTAAATGCATATCAGTCCTGAAAACAAACAGATCACATCAATCTAAATAAAAAAACAAGAGAATAATGTGCATAATTTAAAATGTACATTACTAGACTGAGCAACCCATCTAACGCCAATATCCGTACCATTCGTTTCACTTGCTAAATAAAACAAATTGAAGATTTATATTCCATTACAATGGAAACTTATATGGATTGATACAAAAAACGACACATCTTGTTGTATGAATATATAGTTTAAAATAGAATTCCTTGTTTTATTTCATTTGTTTTGAGTTCAACTGAATCATTGTATGTAGCGTATGGTATAATTGGACTTGTAATCCATTAGTAATTTCGATCAAAAATAGAAATATAACGAGGTAAAACCACATTATGCGAAACTTCAGTGAATACAATATTTTTCTTTCAAAAGGCACATATTAAATTGTATATAAACCTCTGGATACCTGAGGCATTTATCAATATAAAAAGAAAACTTAAGTATGTCCCGATTTGTATATTTGTGAAATAATTGCATTAATAAATGACATATGATCAATAATATGATTTAAAACAACATTTATTTCTAGACGCCATCACATGACGAGTTTTCAATTGATCTATGCACTAGATGTTGCAAGAATAATTTACCTGAATACATAAATACAAATAAGTTTCTCAGCATGGTTCAAATCACAAGAAAGATGAGAACATCAATGAATTATGAGTTTTGTATTGACATAGTATTATGCTACATAGTATTCATGCCAATTTGACAGGGAAAATCAGAACAATCTTGTTTATTAATGTATTCAGCTTTGTACATAGAAGCATATATATATATATCAGTGAAAGGTTCTGGAAAAAAAGATGATTTATATATCTGTTAATCTTGACAAAATAGAAATTTCTCTCTACTAATAAAGACAGCTTGGGAGCCATTGCGACAGCACTAGACATTATCTACAATCTCTCTTTCGTCGTAATAGATGTACATAGATTCATAATGTGATTTCTCAATCATTTGTTACGCTTACATGTTCTCATGCACTTACTTCTTCACGCTATCTTCTTCATTCATTAATTATCATCGTCAGTTTCTCTTCACATCGTCTATTATTTTCCTGAAAATATGAATAGGGTGACACA